GTGCGTGAGTGAGTGAGTGAGTGAGTGAGTGAGTGAGTGTGGTTTGGCCATAGCACTTCATTGCACAATGTCCAGTCACTGAGCAAACATATTAATTGTTCATTGTAACAACATGAAGATATGAACACAAATAATTATTTTGTAAGATTTATATTAGGTGAATTCTTACTAAACCTTTCAAGAACACTCAGATCAGAAGAAAACATTTTTTTGGAAAGAAGTGTCTTATGCTGATCGAGGCTGATCAAAAATACAATAAACATTATATTACTGTGAAATATTAACACTATCTAAAATGGTTGTTTTTTTATCGTACTATATGTTAAACTGTAATTTATTTCTGTGATCAAAGCTGTATTTTCAGCATCATTACTCCAGTCTTCAGTGTCACATGATCTTCAGAAATCATTCTAATATGCTGATTTGCTGCTCAAGAAACATTTCTGATTATTATCAATGTTGTACTGCTTAATATTTTCATCATATGTTTTGGTAACAATGTAAAAGTCTTTGCTATCATGTTTGATCAATTGAATGCATCCTTGCCGAATAAAACTAAAACCAAACTGAAAATAGTGTTTTATTTATCATCATTGTAAAACATATATATTTCATAGTCGTATAGTGACAATGTTTGAGACTGATCCTGTAGTGTTGTGCATCAGCTGTAGTTCAGTAGTGAGTGTGCACCGATGCTGTGTCCGCAGGTGCGGGATCTGTCGTTGGCGTACCTGCTGGTGGGGATAACATACCTCTATGTGGGTGTGCTGATCTTTGCTGCTTTCCCATCACCACCGCTGTCTAAAGAGTGCATTGAACCAGTAAGACTGAGCTTGCAACTGCAACTCTAATATCATACATTTTTTCAAAATTAGCTGTTTGAGGTGCATTCATTCATACTGACATTGTCTCGTCCTCCTCTACAGAACTTTCTGGATAACTTCCCCAGCAGCGATGTGCTGGTGTTTGTAGCGAGGGCTTGTCTTCTGTTCCAGATGACCACCGTGTATCCTCTGCTGGGGTACCTGGTGCGCGTGCAGCTGATGGGGCAGCTCTTTGGGGACCATTATCCCAGGTGAGTAATAATTGTGTATGATAATGAGTTATGACTGATGGGCGCATTTGAAATCTTTAGTTTCAGATCAGTGCTTTGTTACAAAATGATGTGATATTTGCAAACAAGGCTGAGTTACGACGTCATACTGTTTTGAAACATTTTGAAATGTCAGCGGTTTAATGTTGTGAGGGAGTTTATCTCAGTTGAAACCTTAAACCAGTATTAAAAGTATGTTTGTAACCGCTCTCGAGTCAGTTTTTAGTGGAATTTTCCAAATTCTGTTTGTAAAAGTGTTCAACATATTTGTAGAACTTACAAAAAATGTTGTATTTCATGGTATTTAGTGCAGTTACATGGCTTTATCCAGCAGATGTCCTCACCAAGTAGAGTTTCAATCGCTTCAAAACAGCAAATCAGTTTAATTAACTGTTTCGCTTCATGACACATCCACTGAAACAATGGAGAAGTGAATCTCTGAGTCTTCTTGGCTGTTTGTTTGAAATGAAGGTTCCTCTGAATGAAAAAGGTGGTGTGGGGAATCATCCTTTATAGAGATAATACATAAATTGAAGAGATTGAGTAATGGCAAACTTCTGAAAATTAAAGCACGCTTTACAAAATAGCTGAGATCATGTAACATTCAAAACCGTTGCCGCACACATTTTTGTCCTTTTAAAGAATGAAACTCTAAATCAGATTTTTGAGATGTGCGTTGCACATTATGGAACAAAAGAGGAAAATGTAATTATTAATTTTAGACTAAGTAGCCTTATTATTTTGGAAGGTGCTGTTTCAAAGTTATTAACATAATGTGGCATTATGTTAAACAAACAAACAAAAACAGCTGTGGATCATCCAGATAAAAACACAGTATTAAGAATCAAGCGTATGTAAACTTTTGAACAGGGTCATTTTTATAAATTCAACTATTATTTTCTCTTGTGGATTATATTGTAAGGTCTGCGCACCTGGCCCAAAAAAGGTATCCAGTGGCGGATGAAGGTCTCTTGCGTGTTCGGTCTTTTCAGCGCGCAGAGTTATTCAATTTAGGTTTAACTCAATCTGACTCCATTTTAGTATCTGAATTCTAATTTAGGTTGAAAGGCACATTGGTTGTTTGTCGGTCTCTGATTATTCTTACATTCGATTATTCTAATTAACTCTTTACTTTGTATTTTTTCTCGTTCACTAGGAATCTATGTCGTTTTAGGCCCACTGGATACCTTTCTTGGACCAGGTGCGCGGACCTTACAATATGTAAACGTCTTTTATGTGAAATCTCTTATTCAGGTCAGTACTAAATAAAAGTAACATGCATTTTGTATACTTTGGTAAAATAATTAACATTTTGCACCACAAGTGTGTGTTTGTGAAACAGTGTCGCATTTAAAAGTTAACATTACAAAAGCACACGGGCACATATTTTCAGTGTAGACTACTTCATTGTCCGTAAAACCTTTGACAGAGTTGTCTTCCTGTATTTAATGGACCAATCATGATGCTTGAGTGTGGGACTTCCTTAAAAATCCTGCATTTTAAGTGTTAAGCCACAACCTCATTTATAAAAAAAAAATAAAGTGACTCAGTAATTTCTCAGATTGATGTGTTGGAGCTGGAAGAGGTGCTTGTAAATCATATAGTATGAGCGGGACACTGACTTGCACTGTATGCTTACAAGAATGATCTCAATGTATTGACATCATTGATGCCTCGTCTTTCCATTCCTAGTTTCCTTCATGTGTTTATTCTGAACATCCTTGTTGTGGGAGCTGGAGTCCTAATGGCCAGGTTTTACCCCAACATCGGCTCCATCATCAGGTAAGAGACCGTTTCCTGCTTCCTTTTTTTAAAACAGGAACTTAGTGTCATCATTTCTTAAACTGGGCAGAGGCTGTGTGTATACAGCAGTGCTGTGAAGGATTTGCATTGAACTCTCTCTCTGCCAGACTTCAGTAGTTGAGTTTCCAGACTTGACCCTGTTTATCTCTGTGGAGCTGTTGTGCACAATCTGTATTGTGTGAAGCGCTATAGAAATGAAGGTGACTTGACTTTGGAACGGTTGGTTTCCTCTCAGGTATTCGGGGGCCCTGTGTGGCTTGGCTCTGGTGTTTGTGCTTCCCTCTCTGATCCACCTGACCTCACTGAACCGCAGAGGGGAGTTACGCTGGCCCTCCGCCGTCTTCCACGGCTTCCTCGTCCTCCTCGGCGTGGCCAATCTGTTCGGCCAGTTCTTCATGTAGCACGCTGTGCCTTAAATGAGGCGCTCATTGTCTGTGTTTACCTGATGGAAGAGGAGCTCTGTGTGTTGGGAACAGTTCCTTGGGTGCTTCTCACAGGATTGAAGTCATGGTATTAGAAGTACTAACCAACTAATCAAGTACCTGTGAATTTCATTACAAGAAACTCGCTCAAAGGCACCGAATGTCTTAGTTTTTACATTTTAAAAGGGTTTAATTAAAGCTATGCATTTATCATATTGCTTTTAACAGCTCAGGAAAAGCTATTTCTGCAGGGATTCAATCATTCAGTTGTTTTTAAATGTATTTTAATTTTCTTCAATCGCTAAAATCACCATCTTAAATCAAAATTTGTGTCCTCGCTCTGAATTTGGCACATTTAGTTGAATGCAGAGTGAAGATACTCATGTAGCATGTAATGAGCGGGGTACTAGAACTGTACTGAACGCCAGTGACTTCTGTGTAACATCACTGCTAGAGTGTGCTTGTAAACCATTCACATTCAAAATCAAGTTCTTGAATTAGGACCTTGCTACAGATGAAGTCAGTGTGCAACATAAATGCAACCCGAAGGTCTTCCAGACCCAGTCTTTACTCTGACAGTGTTGTGTAAAGGTAGTGAAATGTAACCCGCTTACAGTAATTAATGGATACATAAAGGGAAACACAACTTCAGTAGTTGAGTTTCCAGACTTGACCCTGTTTATCTCTGTGGAGCTGTTGTGCACAATCTGTATTGTGTGAAGCGCTATAGAAATGAAGGTGACTTGACTTTGGAACGGTTGGTTTCCTCTCAGGTATTCGGGGGCCCTGTGTGGCTTGGCTCTGGTGTTTGTGCTTCCCTCTCTGATCCACCTGACCTCACTGAACCGCAGAGGGGAGTTACGCTGGCCCTCCGCCGTCTTCCACGGCTTCCTCGTCCTCCTCGGCGTGGCCAATCTGTTCGGCCAGTTCTTCATGTAGCACGCTGTGCCTTAAATGAGGCGCTCATTGTCTGTGTTTACCTGATGGAAGAGGAGCTCTGTGTGTTGGGAACAGTTCCTTGGGTGCTTCTCACAGGATTGAAGTCATGGTATTAGAAGTACTAACCAACTAATCAAGTACCTGTGAATTTCATTACAAGAAACTCGCTCAAAGGCACCGAATGTCTTAGTTTTTACATTTTAAAAGGGTTTAATTAAAGCTATGCATTTATCATATTGCTTTTAACAGCTCAGGAAAAGCTATTTCTGCAGGGATTCAATCATTCAGTTGTTTTTAAATGTATTTTAATTTTCTTCAATCGCTAAAATCACCATCTTAAATCAAAATTTGTGTCCTCGCTCTGAATTTGGCACATTTAGTTGAATGCAGAGTGAAGATACTCATGTAGCATGTAATGAGCGGGGTACTAGAACTGTACTGAACGCCAGTGACTTCTGTGTAACATCACTGCTAGAGTGTGCTTGTAAACCATTCACATTCAAAATCAAGTTCTTAAATTAGGACCTTGCTACAGATGAAGTCAGTGTGCAACATAAATGCAACCCGAAGGTCTTCCAGACCCAGTCTTTACTCTGACAGTGTTGTGTAAAGGTAGTGAAATGTAACCCGCTTACAGTAATTAATGGATACATAAAGGGAAACACAAGTCTCTAGGTTTGGTTTCAAGTCCAATGTTTTGGATGACTGTTTGTTACTGATCTTTGTGTCGTTCTCCAGCTGAATCTGTTCTTTGTGAGTTCATGTCACTTTATGAAATATGTGCACATCAATAAGGGAAGCTTAACTTTGCACACTTTTGTGAGATTCCAAAGCTCGAGTCACTTTTAAGTGTTTGTACATTTATGTCCATTTCTGTCTTGTTTATTTTTTAAACAATTAAATTTATGTGACCTCTTTAGGGGAAAAAAAATGCATTTAACAGGATAAATTGAACCCAGCTCACAATATCTTAATTCAAACCTATAAAACTCCAATAAAGTGTTGTTAGCGGTATAATGTTTCCTTCATGATTTCCACTCATTTAAAACCTGCTGAAAGTTTAAGGAAAATGTTAGTCAACTATGAGTAAATGTTTTCATATCACAGCCAAGCATTTTTTTAATAAAGTGTCAGAAGAACAAAACTACATGCTTCCAAAACTGTTTTCAAATGTATTTTGTGATTTAAAAAGAATAAACTTGGTTACTGTTGGTTTGTTACGGTTGATTTGTTTTAAAATAACCAGCTAGTTCGTATAGAATAAAACGAAGAGTGCTCTTGTCATATCAATTTCTGAAATGAAAAGGAATTTGTCTGATTAAAAAAATTGGTAACACTTTATTTTAAGGTGTCCTTGTTACACGTTACATTACTATTATAATAACAATTATTTATGCATAATAACATGCAAGTAACCCCAATCCAAACGCTAAGTAATGCTAATCCTATAGTAAGTACATGTAGTACTCCGTACTTAAATTTATAATTACACTGTAACAAGGACACCTTCAAATAAAGTGTAACCCACTTCATCTTTTTTGAGTTTCATCTTTTCTGTTACACAAAGGAACAGGCTGGTGTGTTGGGATGGAAAATAATTTTTAATGTTGGATTTAAACTTAAGATAAATTTAATACTTTTAAACAGGGGTGCTTATGAAATGTGGCCATGCCTGTAAAAGAATCGCAGGCATGTTGGTTGGAGTTATCAGTGTTAGTGTATTTGTAGTGCTGAAGACCGAGTAAGGCACAGGTCCTCCACTCTTCTGTTGGTTGGAGTTATTATCAGTGTTAGTGTATTTGTAGTGCTGAAGACCGAGTAAGGCACAGGTCCTCCACTCTTCTGTTGGTTGGAGTTCAGGTGAAGAGTTCTGCATAATCTGCTGCGGCTGATTTCTGTCCACACGTGCGCCGCAGACACTCCTCCACTCCAGATGAGCTCAGCGGCTCTACCTAGTGCCACAAAATATAGAGTTACACATCACCACACACATACGAACACCCTCTCAATCCAACTCAAACCCAACCTACTCTGAGATGACTGCTGAAATTGCACATATCCACCGTTTTCCTACATCTCATGATGCTTTGTGTCAATTATGGTAGTAACTTCCGTTAAACTTTATGCAATCAGTGAACGCTTTGTTCTATGCAACAAACACAATAAGCATTTTCAAAAAACGGTGTACAGTGAGGTACAACAGACTGTGAATAAGCCCAAAAAGTCAACTATTTCTCCACTGCAATATTACAGACGTGTTAAAGTCTTCATGAAATCAAGATTTACTTTTACTTCAGCTCTGGAATGGCATTCCTCCTCTGATGACGTCAGTTTGACGGCTTGGGCGGAGCAGAGCCGCTGAGAAACAGAGTTGCGACACTCCCATAGGCTTCCATAGGAACTGAGGAATGCGGAAGTAAAGCGTGATGGAGCAGCCAATAGTTCCAGTATTGAAGCCCATTCATTTCAGTGCTTCTCAAGCACACTCGCCAGAGAGTTGAGGAAATTACAGCAGTTTTTGGCATTTTAACGCATTAGTTTACCTCTCGGAAATCTGACCTTTAGTTGTATTTTATGAAACGCGTTATAGTTAATGTTTAGTTTTAGATAATAGGCAGTTATGCTATATTTGCAATTAGATAACACGAGAAACACCTTAATAGCGATCATAACCAGATGCTAGTTGTCATATTTTTAAGTTTGTAGTCTTTCTGCAATCTTTCTCTCCCTGTAGGAAGTTGAATGAGTTTCAGCTACGGCCCATTAAAAGGAAAACAAGAAAGAGTTTCCCTGAATGCAGTTGGTTGCCTTGTTTTTTTAAAACGTTATAAAAATTGAACATCCTTGGATGTAAATTTTTTTTATTGGGTTAAATTATGTATTTGCTGGACTTTTTTAACATTCACTTATATTGTCTTCTTACATAAATGTCCTAAAATAATACTGGGATGTGAGTAATTAATCTTTTTAAATTCAACATTTAAAAAAAAGCAAAACTTATAAACATTGAGTGTTTGATAATGTCTAAATATACAATGCAAAACATTAAATAAATAAATAAAGCTATTATGACCAGTAAAACCCTGTACTAGAGTAGAGCTAAATATATGTAGGCTATATTTATTAAACAGCCATACAGGCATCTAGTGGTTAAAAGGGGTCATATGATGTTGCTAAAAAGCACATAATTTGGTGTATTTGGTGTAATGAAATGTGTTTATGTGGTTTAAGGTTCAAAAAACATTATTTTCCACATACTGTACATTATTATTTCTCCTCTATGCCCCGCCTTTCTGAAACACGTCGATTTTTGCAAAGCTCATCGGTCTGAAAAGCGAGGGGTGCTGTGATTGCCCAGCTATCCAGTGTGCTGTGATTGGCTGAATACCTCAAGCGTGTGACAGAAATGTTACGCCCCTCACCATACTGTGATGAGCGGCGGCAGCAACAATACTACAGCGAGAATAAGAGTTACGCCTTCTTTTTTTGCGTGAACATTTGAGCGGCGTTAAGCAAATCTTCCCACATAGTGACGTAGACATGTGGGGGCGTGTTAGAACGAGCCGTTTCAGGTAGGCGTGGTGAACTCTTAACTTTTATAAAGAATATATCTTTGGATTTGAGACTTTAGTCTTTGCAACTTTACAGATCTTCTTTATGCACCAAGAGCTTGTAACACTCCAAAGAGAAAGGAAAACTTGAAATTGCATCATATGACCCTTTAAACCATGGCATTACATAGGAATATTATTTTTCTGACCACCAAACGCCTCTAATTTGCCTCTTTGCACTGGAATTTAAAAATATGCTAATTGTAATATAAATAATTATAATCATATTAGAAAAAATATTAATGCTGTCTCTTCATCGCTCCCCAGAATAAAATGCGATTGTAAAACACAGTCAGCGTAGTTATCAATACACAATCAATGCACATTATGTGTTAATAATTACTAGAAATTGCTGAAAATATAGTGAAACTGCTGTCTATCATACTTAAACACATTCAAACATATTGACAGCGCAGAGTTGTTTGGAACTATTGAGAGCTCCATGAACCACGTGACCGCGAGATTCTCAACGGCTCTGGGGCAGAGTATCCTTAACCACGCCCCTCCAACCGGAGTTTGCTGCGAGCGAGAGGTGGAGAGGAGGTGCTTAAATAAAACCCCGCCCCCTCTATTTAATATTCCGTTTCAGTTGTAAATACGTCATAATACTGAAGTAAAGTCAGAGATGCTTTACATTTCTGGTCTCTGGTGTTTCTAGTCAAATTAACATATTTTCCAAGTGGATAATATAACGTTAAACCTATGAAAATGGTTTTAAAAAACACGTGGCACCATAGTTTCATCCCTTTACAGTGTTGCAATGGCCGTCTTTTTGCAGTAACTCACTTGTCATAGTTTAATGAGTGAGTAGAGGACATCATCCTACATCGCTGCAGAAGTACCGACCCAGTGTTTACAAAGTGAACATGCAAAGAAGATCAAATGCCCTTTACAAAAAACGGCAAAACAGCGATGTAGGACGATTTTGAAGTTGGAGGAGAAAATGAGATGGAAGTTTTTCCGACATACCCTAACTGTCATGAACCAGAAAAAACAGAGTTCACGCAGAGCTAGACAATAAGAGCGCTTGAGGTTACAAAGTATATAAATTGTAATTTTTTTCTAGAAAATAACCGATCGTTTCGCTAGATAAGACCCTTCTTCCTCGGCTGGGATCATTTTGAGCCGTTTGAAGCTGCATTTAAACTGCATTTTGGAAGTTCAAACTCAGGGGCACCATAGAAGTCCATTATATGGAGAGAAATCCTGAAATGTTTTCCTCAAAAAACATAATTTCTTTACGAGAAAGAAAGACATTAACGTCTTGGATGACAAGGGAGTGAGTACATTATCTGTACATTTTTGTTCTGGATGTGAACTACTCCTTTTAAAGGCATCAGGACTTGGGCCTGTGGGCTGTGTTGGTTGAGATGAAGGGAGGGTGTCAGGATCTTCGCCTGAACACGCCCACTCCTCTGTGTCAGAAGCTGTCAATGAGAGTCATTGATCCTCACATGTGAAGCACACAGGCAAATCAAGGCGTTGCGGGTAGAGTGAAGCACGCGGGCCGGCATGAGTTCAGTCGAGCCCGATGGAACACCGCTGCACCTGTTTCTTCCTCCGAGGCTCCTGACGAAAGAAAGGAGATTCACGAGCAAAGCAGGGAGAGACTCATGCTCTCGCAGTGAGAGCATTCAGTCCCAATGAGCGCAGTCTCAGCATGGGTGCTGCCCAGGTAAGTGACGCACTCACTGTACCTGTCTGTGTCATGCAGAGGTTCCCCGCATGGCGTGACATTTGCAACAATGTCAGTGAAATTTGCTCCGAAAATTTGCTCTTTTTAATCCACCGGATGGCCGCAGGGGAAGGCTTGCTCTGCGATATTTCCACTGCCAGGAGCTCTTCTATGGCGAGCAACAGGCTGATCTTCTTGCTTTGGCTTCTTTCTTCAGAGTCCAGCGAGGAGATGATCTTCGTCACTGAATTCAGAAAAATGGCGCTCTGAGTCTACTTATATAGCAGTCGGCTCCTCACCTTTTGGCGGGTTGAAGCGCCATTTGTTCGTGCAGCTACACGAATGTGAACAAATCAGACTTCAGCATCAGAGTAAACAGGAGTTTCCCCATAAGCATGTTAAACGCAACGGGAGAGACCGTTCGATGGGGAACAATCAGTTCATAAATGTAAACGCATAAAAATGTGAGGACACTTGTGCATTTATTTATGGTGTATTTTTTGTATGTAAATCTGGTCACACATGTGAACAATAATTCATAAGTATATTAATTTTATTTTCTGAAGGTGAACATTTTTGTATTGTCTTCATTTGTAAGTCACTTTGGATAAAAGCGTCTGCTAAATGACAACGTAAATGAACATGGTGTTATTTTTATTATTATTTAAATTTTTTCGGGACGTGCACACCTGAAGAAATAAAATCCAGAAATGGTTCTGGATTCTGCTGGCCCAATGTACCCTGTTTGCCCAGGACCAGCGAGTGATGTATAGCACATTTACCTGATGATATTCCACCAGTTCAGTGAGCGAGCTGAATCTGATCTGGTCTCCCAGGAGCATGTAGCAGTTCTCTGAAGCATCAATCAGCAGGTGCTTGATTCCCTCACTGGATCGGTAGGAAAGCACATATCCAAAGATCCTCTCGCTAACACGCACCAGGAAGTCCCCAGGCTCGCCCTCCTTCAATAGCACCTCTGCCTGTTCACGAGATATTATACCTGCAGGTAACATGAGATTATGTGAATGATGGGAAATCCAGCAGCATTGTGTGTAACCTCTAGTAGTTTATACTGTAAGTTAAATGAATGAATATAGTCTGTGTTTATTTCTCACCGTGAAACCAGGATGCGATCCGGCTCTGGTCGCGCTGGAATCCTGCTCTGAGCGGCAACTGTTCCTCCTTGAACCAGCGAATAATATGGTCTCGGCTAGACGTTGACAGTGAGCGCCGCATACCACCCTTCCTGCCAATCAGAACACGAGACGTTTAATTACCCTCATATCTTATTCAAATCCTGGATCATCAACCACCATACAGCACAACCCCATACTGAGACATCTTTTAATGTATGTAACAGGAGGATGTAAATCTTAAAAACTGACAGTGTCTTTGCACAACAGATGATGTGTTGAGAGGAATTCCTTGTCAAAACACGTAACTGCACAAACAGTCTGCAGTACGACATTCCTGAGCTGAATCAGACGCCTGAATGAAAAGATGTGACATACAGCTGCGATCAATATATCACTATTAATAGCACTATTAAGAGACACAGGTGACATTACAGTTTTCCCAGAATCAAGGTCTCTGCATAACTTTCTGATTACTGACTATTAGATTACTAATTACTGATAAATAGGATTATATTATACAGATTGTTATATTTACATCAAATTTAAAGGTGGGTGAAAAAATATAAGTCAAAGTACAATATTTTACATCTCAATACTGTTATCAGTATTCTCACGTTAAGATCAATATTTGAGTTGCATGCATATTTTTGTGAAAAAGCAGGTTAACCAGCATTCAGAGCAAACCTGAATGATGAACATATTGCTGCATTCGTTCCACAATAAATCAAACTCAATTTCTGTTCCACTAAAATTCAAACTTAGAACAATATACCACAGTTTCAAATGTATACGCTACTGGTAATATTTGGTATTTTATTGATTGAAAGAAATTAATGCTTTTATTTGCAAAGGACACATTAAATTAATCAAAGGTGACAGTAAAGACATTTATAATGTTACAAAAGATTTGAATTTCAAATAAATGTTGTTCTATTGAATTTTCTATTCATCAAAAAAAAAAATTAAATGTTTTTACAATTTTTTGATCAAATAAATGCAGCTTTGGTAGCTTAAAAATATTCAAAGAAGATCTTAGGGACCTCAAACTGTTGAATGATGGTGTCAATACTAAATAGAAAGAATTGCTGCTACATCACATCTTGACCCGGATAATGCCATATTGACGGGTCTCTGCTCATTGGTTTAATAGATTGTGTTTACATGCACATGAATGTAAACCAAAATTCAATGTTTTTTTTTTTTAATCTGAATAAGACAACTAACAATCTAACCTTATTCTCAACATGCACAACATGTCCAAATGAAATGAAAATTATTTTTGGAGTGAAGAGGACGTTTCCATACAAACGTTAAAGGAAATGAACATATATTGATATACAGATGGCTGAGAGCACCATAAGAGTCCCATGACCTACATTTGGCCTTTGATGGCACCTTCTGTGTGCTGTTAGCAAGAACATGAATGAGCACGAGTCAGCTTCAATTACTGTCCATAATTAGAACAAAAGAAGTGAAAAAAAAAAGATGTCAAGAGCAAGCCTTTCCAGTATTTCCACATGAGAGTAGCAGGAAAAGAAGAAGCTGTTCACAGAATATGCTGATTACATCAATACAGGAATATTCCAGTAGCAGGGAAGCATGGAAACTTCTTCAGAATAAAGGCTTACTCATATTTATTTTGGTAAATGATGTGCATGTAAATGTGGCCATTATGATTGATTATGATCTTTCAAACCACCAGCCCTTCTGTTTCATCACTTCTTTATTATTCAGTTACTGCCACTGGCTCTGATGAGAAGCATATCACACGACTCACCGACTGATAGCACTGCTGCTGTTTCTGGGTTTGGGTTTGGGTGGAGTGGTTAAATCGGTGCTGCCGAAGGCCTTTGTCATGGCCTCTACACGTCCTCTTTCCAGAGCTTTAACTGAGCGCCTGCGGTGGTCCTCGATAGTCTGCTTGGCTAGAGATCGTCTGCGCGTGTCTGCAGCTTTTGACTTCTGCACTGGAACCACATATGCAAAATCACACCGGCTATTCCTTTTATTTATGAACCACAGAGAACAAAACATAATTTCTCAGACAAGACCTGTCATGTAGCCGTTAAACCCCAAATAACAAGTTTCTTTGTGTAATTCTCAATATTCTGAGCGATGATTTTCAGTATTAGTGTATTAGGTCACACTTTATTTTTAAGGTTCAATTCTCACTATTAACTAACTATTAGCTATGAATTTTTCCTCAAACTCCTAATTTGCTGTTTAATAGTTAGTAAGGTAGTTGTGAAGTTTAGGTATGGGTCGGATTAAGGGATTCGTGCAGAATAAAGCATTAATATGCGCTTTATAATAAACGGCCAATAAGCTAGTAATATGCATGCTAGTTAAGAGTGAGAACAGGTCCTTAAAATAAAGTGTTACCCAATAGTATATTAATATTTAAGATTTAGTGTATGCATAATTTCAGTTTAAAGTTTTATGCGAATTTGTTTTTTTTAATACTGTGATACAATAAAACATGTTACTGTATTACAGTAAAGAGCATTTAAAAAGCATTGGCAATTATTCTCAAAATAATCTCAAATGTATTTTGGGTGGGTGATATGTACAGTAACTTTCTGCCTTAAGAACATGTTTCTGTGAGCTTCACTCTATTTCCCATAAACACTGTAGATGCATATCATAAACAGTTCTTAAGCTGTAATTAGTAATTGTTGTGTAGATTGTATGGTTTTCTTTACATGTCTTCTGCCACTCCTTGTCCTGCTCGTCACGAGTGTGTTTACTGCCCTGCACCTCCTTCAGGCTGATGTAAATCTGCTGTTTCCTCTCCTGCTCCAGCCTCCTCAGCTCCTCCTCAGCCTTACGCCTCTCCTCCAACTCCAGTTTCTGACAAAGAAAGGCCTCCAGGTCAGGACAGACCCAGAAGATTTGCTTCTTCATTTGTTTAAAGCAAAAGGGTTTGTGTGGCAGCAGTACCTTGAGTTCCTCCTCCGCTCTCCTCTGCTCCTTCTGCTGGACCTCCTGCTCTGACAACACAACCTGCTCCGGTTCGAGATACAGTCCAGAAAAGCGCTTCTCCAGCTCAGCCTCTTTCTTAGCCCTGTACATTTAGAAGTGAAAAGAACACTTGCATAGGTTATTAGAGTTTTTGGCGGTCATTAATGATTCACAGAACTGAACAGGAAATAGTTGGTATGAGGGGAGACCAGGAATGTCAACGAGAACACTCGTAAAAATAAGAGGTCAATTCCTTCAAGACGTAAGAGAAAAAAGAAATGCCTTGTGCTTACTGTCTAGTACATACTCTTTAAAAAAAGGTATGTGAAAAGAAGCCAGACAAGCTTTTTTTCCCATGATGTATTTTTCATGATATGAAATTCAGGTCGCTTTTACATTTACATTTAGTCATTTAGTAGATGCTTTTATCCAAAGCGACTTACAAATGAGGACAATAAAAGCAGTCAAAACTAACAAAAGAGCAACAATATATAAGTGCAAATGACAAGTCTCGGTTAGCCTAACACAGTACACGTAGCAAGGTATATATATATATATATTATATACACACATAAACACACACACGAAAAGAAAAACAAGTAGATAGAATAGGAGAAAAAAGATAAATATAGATAAAGTAGAATTAAAATAGAATAGAAAGTGTTCGAGTTAGAGGGTCAAATAAAGGTGGAACAGATGTGTTTTTAGTCGTTTCTTGAAGATGGCTAAGGACTCAGCTGCTCGGATTTAAGCTGGTATTTCATTTCGTGGTAGTTTAATTTTGCACATAATAAACAGTTACGGTCAGTTACTGTCATGACTTATATTACACAGAAGTCTCTTCAGTTTAACTCTGCACTTGGACGTTTGCCCTTTAGTTCAGTGCAGTTATCTGCAACACATATTGCATCATGGAAATACCTGCCATTTGGTTTGTTTGCACTGATATACACCCAAGCAGGCACTGATTATTATAATTTTACATCAGAAATGCCTCTAAAACCAGAAACCAATATTCATTTGAACTTCAGTCCAGCAGTCGCATTGAAAAGAGCAAGTGCATGAGGAGGAAGTGGCATCAGCAGGAACACAGTATTCGCACACAAACCCTGTGATGATAACATCCCATCAAACTGGTGAAATATTTAACTAGTGTTGACCGAGTGGATTACTTTGTAGTTTATGCCAAGCAATACATTTTCAGAGTTAAAGATCAATTATAATAGAATAGAAATGTTGCCTTAACCTTCAAGTCGAAGCACTAAAATTACCAACTGGAAAGAAAAAAAATGAACTAAACTGAACTTGGAAAAAAAAACTAAATAGTAATATTAAAATAATAATAATAATAATAAAATATTTAGTGCCTCGCACACCTGAATCAATCATGGGTGCGCTGGATTTTAATGAGCAACGTTTCGATCAACATTTCTGTGATGATGCAAACTTGAGTGGTGTGCGGGACTAATAAAAATGACAAAATTAGTAAAAGTTCAATTGAAAATATTCAAAATATAATACTGATGTTCAATGATTCTCCTTAGATTCTCATGATACTTTTTCAGGATTAAATTAAAAACACTATAATATACTGAATTTTTCATTTAAATCTACATTAAATGCAGTGCAATAAATAATAACATTATATATAGCTACTTTATAACTTAAATAATATATAATTGAGATTGCATTACATTAGAGAAAGCTGTGAGTATGACTGGTGCAGTTTTACCTGAGCTTCTCGGCCTCTCTCTGGGCCTGCAGTGCTGCTCTCTCAGCCATGATCTCGTCACAGATCTGATCGTAGGGTTTGTCACCAGGATGTTCTCCCATCACCCAAACCCACACGTCCTCATCTAGACCCTTTATCCAAGACCATAAATGTGTGTATAAAAAAATAAATATCATCAATTCTGATTTCATGTTTACTATAGTAACAATTGTTTCTTTATAAATCTTTATAAAATTCTTGTTTAACGAAGTGCAAGCTTAGTGAAATTCAGTAATCCATACATTTCTGGTAATATTTATGACAGACCCTCTGCCCAGTATATTCTCATCTTAATGACAGTGAAGATTAAAAACCTTTTTTGACTTTAACACGTGCAGCTTCCTCCTTCTCCAGCTGCGTCTCTATCTCTCTCCATCTCCGGATCTGTTCTTCTCTCATCTTAAAGAACAGAATCTGTTTCTGTTCCTCATTCAGCTCGGCCAGCAGCTCCGGCTCGATGTACATGTCAACCAATATCTGCTGCAGCATCTTCAGGCCTCAGGAGCAGAGCTCAAACCCCTTCAGCTCAAGGCAATGCCCCTCTCTGTTTCTGTGGGTTTGGACTTTGTGAAAACAGAACTGTTTAATGACACAAAAGAAGATATTTTTGGTTTGGTTCCCATTGACTTACATAGTGTGGACCAAAAACAACAACAACAACAACAACAAAAACAGACATTTCTCAAAATATCTTCTTTTATGCTCCACAGAAGAAAGCAAGTCATAATGACAACGATTTTTTTATTATTATTTTTTTTTAATAAATTTAAAAACTATTCATGTGTCATTTATTATTACTCTATTTATTTTTCCTCGACTAAAAAAAACCTTAACACCATAGTAGTTATTAAAGTATAGAATAACACATTTACTGACTGTCACATATTTGAAAGAAATCTGATGTCAGTATAGTCAATATACAAATGTAAACAAGCAACAGGAAGCAGGAAAAAACCCGTCTATCAATCACCCATCACACACACTCACACACTCACACACAGACACACACACTCACACACACACACACACTACATTTCTGGTAATATTTATGACAGACCCTCTGCCCAGTATATTCTCATCTTAATGACAGTGAAGATTAAAAACCTTTTTTGACTTTAACACGTGCAGCTTCCTCCTTCTCCAGCTGCGTCTCTATCTCTCTCCATCTCCGGATCTGTTCTTCTCTCATCTTAAAGAACAGAATCTGTTTCTGTTCCTCATTCAGCTCGGCCAGCAGCTCCGGCTCGATGTACATGTCAACCAATATCTGCTGCAGCATCTTCAGGCCTCAGGAGCAGAGCTCAAACCCCTTCAGCTCAAGGCAATGCCCCTCTCTGTTTCTGTGGGTTTGGACTTTGTGAAAACAGAACTGTTTAATGACACAAAAGAAGATATTTTTGGTTTGGTTCCCATTGACTTACATAGTGTGGACCAAAAACAACAACAACAACAACAACAAAAACAGACATTTCTCAAAATATCTTCTTTTATGCTCCACAGAAGAAAGCAAGTCATAATGACAACGATTTTTTTATTATTATTTTTTTTTTATAAATTTAAAAACTATTCATGTGTCATTTATTATTATTCTATTTATTTTTCCTCGACTAAAAAAAACCTTAACACCATAGTAGTTATTAAAGTATAGAATAACACATTTACTGACTCACATATTTGAAAGAAATCTGATGTCAGTATAGTCAATATACAAATGTAAACAAGCAACAGGAAGCAGGAAAAAACCCGTCTATCAATCACCCATCACACACACTCACACACTCACACACAGACACACACACTCACACACACACACACACTCACACACTCACACACAGACACACACACTCACACACACACACACACTCACACACTCACACACAGACACACACACTCACACACACACACACACTCACACACTCACACACAGACACACACACTCACACACACACACACACTCACACACTCACACACAGACACACACACTCACACACACACACACACTCACACACTCACACACAGACACACACACTCACACACACACACACACTCACACACTCACACACAGACACACACACTCACACACACACACACACTCACACACTCACACACAGACACACACACTCACACACACACACACACTCACACACTCACACACAGACACACACACTCACACACACACACACACTCACACACTCACACACAGACACACACACTCACACACACACACACACTCACACACTCACACACAGACACACACACTCACACACACACACACACTCACACACTCACACACACACACACACACACACACACTCACACACACACACTCACTCACACACGCACTCACACACACACACGGACACACTTACCGCTGGAAGTAAAGGCTTCACACACTCATTTCTCTCGCGAGGATCAGTGCAGCACATCAGTGGTGTGTCTATAACGAATCCAGATGAACCTTTGCGGAGAATAATGCTTAATTTCGGTTAGAACACCTGAGTGAACACCTGAACCCTGTCCAGAAAGGTAAATGTCGAGTGAAATCTGTGGTCATGTACACACCCTTAAATTCTTTCAGCCCAAACTGAGTTCCCTCCTCCTCCTACGCTGGCTCTTCCTCCGGCTCTGTGTGAAAGACTCTTTCAGCTGCACGAGAGCCGCTTTATATGCCGCTCTATTGCACGTGCGTTTGTGCGTGTAATAGTATTAGACCTGAAAATACTTTGTCTAATCTGACCCTGAAATTCTGAAACATTAAGCTAAGAAAAAAGCAAAAGAGGATAAAATAAATCAATTGTGCGCGGCCATTTCCCACACATGTGGCTATATATGTGTGTGTGTGTGTGTGTGTGTGTGTGTGTGTTATTACAGCATCGATTAACAGACTCAGACTTTGAAGTGTCTTGATTTGTGCAAGTTCTGACAAACAACGTGCACTAGGTGGCGCAGTTGTTATAAACCCCCACCGGAACTGCACATGGGTTCATATTTCTTGCTGTGTGCCCTAAGAGGTGCAATTTCCGAGAATTAGGCCATTTTCTAACTTTACCTTTCAGACAGGCCTATGCAAAGTGCTTGCATATACAGGCGACACACACACACACATGTCTGGTCAGCTATCCTCGTGGGTTCTCTCCATAGGCGTAATGGTTTTTATACTGTACAGACCGTATATTCTATTGCCCTACACCAACCCTACCCCTAAACCTACCCCTCACAGGAGACTTTGTGCATTTTTAGATTTTCAAAAAACTT